GCTGGAAAGAAGTGTTCCAAGTCATGACCTACATCCAAGATTGCTCTATCTAGCAAAGCTTTCATTTATCATGGAAGGGCAGATAAAGTGCTTCTCAGATAAGGCCAAGTTAAAAGAGTTCATCATCACCAAGCCCTTATTTTATGAAATGTTAAAGGGACTTACCTAAGAAAAAGAAGATAAAAAAAAACGTGTATAGTAAAATTACAGCAAACTCACAGTTATTAACAACCACACCTAAAACAAAAACAAAAAGAAACTAAGCAAACAACTAGAACAGGAACTAAACCACAGAAATGGAGATCACATGGAGGGTTAGCAACAGGGGAGTGGGAGGAGGGGAGAGGGGGAAAAGGTACAGAGAATAAGTAGCATAGATGGTAGGTAGAAAATAGACAGGGGGATGGCAAGAATAGTATGGGAAATGTAGAAGCTAAAGAACTTATGACACATGGACATGAACTAAAGGGGGGAATGTGGGTGGGAGAGGGTGTGCAGGATGGAGGGGAATGAAGGGGGGAAATGGGACAATTGTAACAGCATAATCAATAAAATATATTTTAAAAATCCCTTCTAACAAATGCATTCAATCTTACCCATTTTGATCATACATAAATTTCTTTCTCAAGATTTCTTTTCATGAATCTTTTACAACTTTCCTTATTCCTTTCAGTTTATCTCTTGTTCTCTTACCCATTCTGAAATAACCAACTTATTTTAGGACAAACCACTTTCTTTTAATTTTCTCAGAAATGTATTTCCATACTTTATACCTCCTATTACCCAAAACATATATTATTTCCTCCCACAGTAATTGGAATTTTTAACCCTTGGATACCTTAATTTCTTGTGAAAACTAAGAACTAAGCAATTGTGAACTATTATATCAGTATTCCTTAGAATGATAAGTTTATGAATATATTCTATAATTTCTGGAAATATATGCCTTTTCATAGTACAGTCTTTCAATGAGACACAAGTTTTGTTACTACCAAACTCATGTATCTTTAGTTTTCCTTTAATAGCCAAAAGTTGTAAATCTATGTTCAGTAATTAATATTTTCATTATTTTATCTTATTTGGAAATTATATGAATATTCAATAAATTTCTATCATTTAATTTAATTTAGCAAAAACTTTTAAGTTACCAAAGAGACTTAGGAAGCCATTTTTAAGTACATATATAATTATTGTTAAAGTTCACCTAAAAATTTTTATTCCATTTATATCTATTTCATTTACTTGTTCTTAGCAATTATGTTTAGATCACTTGTGGAAATTCCATCATACTGAGTTATTTGTCTTGCTGACAAATTTTGCAATGGAGATAACACAAACTCATTTGATGAATAAGTCCAGGTAGAATAAAAAGATTATACTTAATGATAAAAACTCTAAAGACATGCCTGTTTAAATTAAATAAACATAGTTAATTAGCTTAATACCAAATATATCCTTTAGATTACAGGCACTAGAAAAGCATTTAGTTCATTTCTACTACATTTTTGGGAATTTTTAAATATAAGTGTTTGTTTGAGCCAATTAAATGAGATTTTACAAATTAGCAATATCACCTGAAGGTGGAAAATACCATACAATGCACATGAACATACAGACAGATGCAAACAGAGACCTCCTCGCCTTCATTTAAAAATTTTAGCCATGAGACAAGTGGTAAATTCATCTGCTCAGGAATGGCTTAAGCTTTTTTCTTATTAATATGTGTGATTAAGATTTTTATTTTTCCTTAACACGGCAACCCTGTAACCAGAACAGTGGTTTGTTGTGCTTTAAAAAAATATTCCTCATTTTCTTTTCTTTCCTTCAGCCTTAGGAACTCAGGTGGTAAAGATAATTGGGCTCTGAACTGCCTCTAGATTGCATTGCTGGTTTTGCAGAGATGTGTAAGATAAACACAATTGCTCTCAATTTCCCAAAGAGTCAACTGTAACTTAAGTGACATCACAGGTTGATCTACCTGTCCATCTACATCATCTCTAATTTCTTCTTTCCCTTTGGGCCCATAGTTTTATTTTAGCTTATGGGAAACAGCTCCCCACCCCAGCAGCTTCTAATTTGGCCAATTTTTTCATCATAGAGCTTTTACATCTTTTGAAATATTTTCTCAGGTTTCAGCTGGGACAACTGTAAATAGTTCTGGCAGCATTAAACAATGCCATGGCCTCAGACGGCCTCAAAGGGTGCAAAGGTTATTAACTTCCAGAGTCATTTTCTCTGATAGCCAAAAGAATCCACAACCTACATGTTCCAGGCAGGAAGAAGGCCAAGCCAAACCCACAGGACATGGGTAATACCTATCCCTGGGAAAGAAAGGATCAATTACCAACTGGTCTGGATTTGGGAAGAGAAAGTGTCAAATTTTATTTTCATCTTTCACTGGGCTTAGGAGGTAATCCATTTACAAATAAACTTTTATAAGTCCTCCCAGAGTTCATCCTCTCTGTGGGATGTGTGAGTACATGCATACTCTGACTGGTAGAAAACGAGAATGAGCAGCCCTGTCTTTACTGCCTCTGGGAGGAGACTGATAGACATAGAAAACTCCCTTCTGGTCTATCTAGAAGGAAATGGTTGGACAGAGAGCAGGGTGCACCCCAGCAAGAGCACCCTCTGGATGGTGGAGGCCAGAGAGAAAAATATTCTCACTGGTCATAAAGACCAAACTCTCAGGACATGATACATGATTAAAGGAGAGACACCAGACACACAGAGAAAAAACAGAATTAACAAAATCCATGAGTCCTCATACCAAGTAACCAAGAGTCACTAAGCCTAAGAAATTAGTTTCACAAATATTTTATTCTGCTAATCTATATTTAGTAAAAGGAAAAAAAAAGGACTCTTACCAGTCTGCTTCCACCAAACTCTATAAGTAGAAATCTGGGAGTCTAACTTGGCAAGAGTTCTTACCCTTTTGTCTGGCACGTGTTAGTAGTTCTAGGGTCTCTCTGTTGCCACAGCTTCAGGGTGAGCCGGGCCCAACCTGTGAGATGTCCTTCTCACAGTATGTACTTTCAAATGCCTGTTGCAGAGAAGATATTCTCACAATATGGCTGCTATAACTTGGTATTAAGTAATATGGAAATTACATCTTTCACCCAAAGTATTCATAGTAAGAAACTGATTATTTATATCTATATAAAAAGACAGAAAAATATTGCTTCTCACACTGTGATATACAAATGAACAGTCTGTTCTTTTTTTCTATACAAGTCTGTGAAACATTGTTAATACATATTATATAAGCTATAAGGATTCATAGTGAACAGAGCAAAATTGACATATTTGTTCTAAGAAGAGAAATAAATCAATAAAATAAGATTCTGGCTAAAAGTAGTCAAAGATTAGTGATATATAATGATTATATATCAATTAACATAATACGACCTTTGTTACTATGCTTTTATTCCTCTCTCAAGACTAAGAAAATGTTTTTTGCCCTGGCTGGTGTAGCGCAGTGGATTGAGCTCGGGCTGCGAACCAAAGTGTCGCAGGTTTGATTCCCAGTCAGGGTACATGCCTGGGTTGCAGGCCGTGACCCTCAGCAACCGCACATTGATGTTTCTCTCTCTCTCTCTCTTTCTCCCCCCCTTCCCTCTCTAAAAATAATATAAATAAAATCTTTTTTTAAAAAAAGAAAATGAACACTAGCTTTAACTCTACTGTTAGGTTAAAAAGAGAGATATAAAGATCAATATTAATAGAAACAATTCATTTGCCTTTCTGCCTCTCTAGTAGACTCACTCTTTCATTTATTCATCTGGTTAGTCAACAGAAGGTAATTGAATGCATAGAATAGGCCAGACACAGGTGTGGTAGTGGTGCTAAAAAGTCAGGTGTATTATGATGCCCACTTTGGAGTTGAGTCAGTGATCTAACAATCTTCTACTAGAATGAAGCTAAATGTTAATAATAATAATAATAATAATAATAATAATAATAATAATAGTATCACAAGTAAAACACAGTACTTGCAATAATAATAAGAGCAAAACATTTATATTTTAATTTTGTATGCTTTAATCTTAACTGAGAAAAATGGGTAAAAATACTGAATTGGAATATTATAACTCTATAATATTCTGAGTGCTTAAAAGATTCAATTTTTATGAACTTTGTATCAACTATTGATGGGTGAATACTGATAAACATTAATTAGTAAATATTTAATTCAAATTATCATTCATTTATTTAATCATAGTTCATTCAATACATATTTATTAAGCCTCTGTTATATTCCAGGAGCTGGGTACACAACCAGAGTCAAAAAAGTGAGGCCTTTGAACTCATGGAGTTTCCGTTCCTGGGAACTAATATAATGTGCTCTGACACAGGCCCTGGCCGAGTGGCTCAGTTGGTTAGAGCACCGTCCTAATACACCAAGGCTGCAGTTCCATCCTGGGTCAGAGCACATACCAACAAATCCATGGTCCTCTCTCTCTCTCTCTCTCTCTTTCTCAAGACAGAAAATAAAAAGAAATATGCTCTGACACTCCACGTACTTCACTACATTTTCATGCTAAACACAGACAGCAAGGACAGTGCTAAAAAAGGGCAAGATGCAATTCAGGCTGAGTATTTTCCAACTCTGTACTTCTGTGCAAGGGCTTGACGGCAGCTTTGCCCTTAGGTGTGCAATCTTACACAAGTTATTTAATCACTACCCCTTGTTTCCGCCTCTGTAAAAGGGATACAGTACTAGTTGGGTTCTCCTCGAGATTAAATGAGATAATGTGCATCGAATGTTCACCAGTTATTCCTATTACTGCTTTGGCTGTGGTTCCAAAACGTTCCTGCTCATTGGAATCTGGGGGCCTTTAAAGGCGTTTCAAACCCTGGGCTACATACCAGACCAATTAAACTTCAGTCTAATGGAGGTAGGGCATAAACGGCAGTTTTGGAACACCGTAGGTGGCTTCAATGTTCAAATTGGGTTATTGATGCGTCCTAATAGCGTTTGTCCATCTACCTGCCTTTACCAGAGTTTAATGAAAGTCAGATAATCGAGGTGCACATTTTTCTGCTCCATCCTGTGATTTTATTCCAAATTCTTTCAAATCTTCAAGGGATGAGGGATGGGAGAAAGCCCAGACCTCTACTGCCTTCTCATAGTTTCCAAGTTTAGCGGGACCCTTTAGGTATAGGAAGGCTGACACTTGCACCTGCCGGCGCCTGCAGGGCCTGCCAGAGGAGAAGGAAAGAGCCTGGAAACTCAGGCCGGCCGGGGGCGCTGGGCTCAGTGCAGAGGCCGCTGAGTCGGGGAGAGGGAAGACCGGCAGCGGGATCGTTCCCTGGGGACCCTTAACAGCCCGGGCGCTCGAATCGGGTGGGCGTTGTCCCTGCCTTCTGCACCCCGCGATCCCGCGCGATCCCGTCTGGGTGCCCGAGCAGCCACCAGCGCTTTGGTCCAAAGCGAGCAGTTCCCGCCGCGCCGCCCGCCGCCATGGAGCCCGGGCCGCCCGGAGCCACCAGGCCCGCAGAGCCGGGGCCTCGCCTGCGCGGCGAGTGCGGCGCGGACCAGGCGGCCTCGGCCTCCTTGCTGAGCGGGGCCGAGGCCGAGCCCCAGCGGCGCGCGCTGGCCGTGGCGGCCGTGCTGCCGGCGGGGGGGTGCGGGGAGAGGATGGGCGTCCCCACCCCGAAGCAGTTCTGCCCCATCCTGGAGAGGCCGCTCATCAGCTACACCCTGCAGGCCCTGGAGAGGTAATGCGGCGCCGAGCGCGCCCCACGGCTGGGCCCGGCCTCCGCCTCCCCGTCCTCCGCCCTGCCCGCCCAGGCCGTCCTGCGACACCTTCCCCTGTGCTGCTCTCGCGCGGGCGCCTTCTCTCGGCTAGCTGTGGGGCCGTCTCCACCGTCTCAGTCACTGGAGCTTGGCTTCCATTCCCGCTGGCACTTCAGAGATGGACGCTCTGCTTTAACAGATGGGCCCGGAGGCTGGGGCTGCCCCCACGGAGCCCTTTACGTGTCCCAGGCGGTCCACGTGGTGGGGAAAGACGGCCCACGTCGAAGCTGGACTAACGGGCGCACGGGGTGGGACAAAGGGACACTAGTTCTAACTGTGGCCCCACTGGGAGAACTAATGGGGAGAAACAGTTCTTGGAGGCTCCCTGGCCCTGCCTGTCTTTCATAGCCTTTCACTTGTTCTCACCTTCTCATTCTTTCTCTTTGGCATAGTCTTTCTCCCTCTTGCGCATGCATGCACGCGGGTTATGAGTTTTACTTGCACAGCTGTGTTCGTGGGCATTTGTTCAATTCACTTTATCCACTCATTCACACACAGTAACTGAGCACTTCCTATGAGATACACAGCTAATTACTGTGTGCTGAAGGTGGACCGAGGAGAATTTAATCGAAGGCTTTTAATGGTGGAAAGGGATTTGAGGGTGCTATGTTGAAGCCAGCACATGCCTTATTAGGAAAGCGGGGAAATGAAGGAGGGAGAGGGAATGGAGCAAGGAGGCGTAGAGGAGCTGTAGTGTAGAGCTAAAGAGGTGAAAAGAGGGGTATGTTATTATATTAGTCTTATCTTGTTTTTAGCCCCAAGTGATGCGGGGATAGTGTGGGATAAAGCTGGAGGTGTGGGAAGCAGGGGGATTGCAAAGGCCCACATTCGTGTTGCTGGGGTGTTTAGACTTCTTGAAGCTAGTGGGGAGCTGTGGTAGTGTTTAAAACTTGATTGACGTGAACCGTTTGCAATTAAAGATAGATGACATCTTTTAGCGTCCTTTGCAGGTGACTTTAAGGAAAAGGAAGCTAGTGAGATTCTAGTTAAAGGATGGTTGCATGTTATACAGAAAAAAAAAAAAAGAGTTCTCCGCCATGCTTTCACACACCCCAGAAGCCAGAGGGCTCAAGTTGCTTTGCATATCGTTAGTTTTACTTTTTGAATATTGTCATTTGGAAAATGGAATTATAAAAAGCCCCAATCACTCCTGATTCATATAATCTGCCCTGTGATTACATCTGAAATTCTTACAAACCTTGAAACAGTTCCAAGTGCTTCCTCTCCTCTTCTGTAGCCTTCCATTTCTCTGGGTAGTTAGTTGAGGGTGAGTTCATTGAAGCCATGTATGGATCATGCATCTACAATATTCTGGTGTCACAGACACTATGACAACAGAGCTCATTTACGTAGTTAATCTTATGGAACACGATGGATCTTTTTTAGCAGGGTCTTTTTCTAGACCCTGCTAAATAGTAATTAGATATAGAGGAATAGAGTCGTTATACATTTAACTTTCCTTTCTATAAAAACTTCTATGTTAGTTTTGCATCTTATGAGGCAGCCTGAGATAGGTAGACACTAAAAAAACTTTTAAAGTAAAAGAACATTCTGGAAAGATCCTGTTTATGGAAAATGAAGCAACACTTGTTTTCCATTTTTATTTAATTGTTAACAGCAGCCATAAAAATCTTAATAGTGACTAATCAAAACCTCCATTTTTAAATACACCAGGGCTCATTTTTGTCACTATTCCAATGCCTGAAGAAATTATGGAATATTATATTTCGGGTATGTCTCTGGAAATCCTTGGATACCTTGCATTCCAAGAGTGTATGTATAGGTGCTTCTTAGCTGTTTGGCAAATGAAAGCCGTTCTCTTCTTTTGGTAAAAGGTGGGATCTCTAGACTGCTGATAGTTTTCCTACAGCCTGGTACCAAAATGCTCAGGTTATTTCATCCTGAAAGTTCAAATAAGGAAAGGAAATGGAAGCATAGAGTGTCTTGTAAAATTCTTATCTTTTGCTCTTTGGAGAAATTATACCTGCTTACTACTTATTTAAGGTGTAGCGGAGTTCTCAATGTCCTGTATAAGACAAGATGTAATTGGGTGCCATCACTGTCAGTCATCCAGGTGCTATTAAGAGAGTCTGCTCTCCTTGTCCTTTAACAGCTGTGAGTATTAGAATGTCCAGAGTTTGACTTTTCTTTTAGTAGTTAGGATTTCCCTTGCTCAAGCTTTTGCCATCTCACTAATAGAGGGTTGAACAGTTTTTGTGAGTAATCTTTGTTTTTCAGTTCTTTCTTGACTAAGACATTAAAGATAGTTTTTGAAAAATAATCCTTATGGGTCAATTTCTTTTTTTGGAATTTGGAACCAACAAACTGCTTACAGCTTAGGATAGAGGAGGATACCCCAAAATTTGTCCCCAAATTCCTGAGTTGAGATAGGGAAATGTAAAGAAACATGACCAGTGTGACTTTTATTTTTTTTTTAAATTTGCCATCATAACTTTTAAACAATGCTATTAACACATGTGTTTATTTCCACGACTTCATTTATGCACCCAAAGGGACTAAAAACGTATAGACACATTAAGGAAAAATAAATGTCTGAGGAAGAAGAGCAGATAGAAGATAAAACTCTGGAAGAAAGAAGGGTGATAGAGGAGTATTAACCAATCAGATTTAACAGGCCCAAGAAAGTGGATACATAAGCCCTGAGGTACAACATCTATAAAGAAGCAAGTTGATTGGTCATAAGACCTTCGAACATTTCAAGAATTAAAGGGACATGTATTAGAGCAGTGATTTTCAAGCTTTTCCATCTCATGGTACTCATAAACTAATTACTAAAATTCTGCAGCGCATCAAAAAATAGGCTTTTTGCTGATCTGACCAAAAAAAAAAAAGAGGTATACTTTTGGAGTTCATTCACACCAGATGGCTATTGTGTTGACTGTTGTCATTTTTTTCTTTGACAATCTAAGGGAAAAGAGGCCAGGGCCCCTGATTTAATAGTCAGGTACTGCATGTTTTAAAGATTCTTGTGGCACACCAGTGTGCCACACACTGGTTGGAAATATGTGACTGAGAAGTTGGAGAAGAACTTTCAGAGAAAAAATCTATCTTGTGAATTTACTAGGACTTCAGATTTTTGTTTGTTTGTTTGCTTGCTTTGTGTCTTCCTGCTGGCAAAATGGCAAAAGTACACATTTTTCTAGTTTAGCCAAGTTCTACTTGTGCACCATTTCTTCGATAACTGTTGATCAGATTGAAAGATTCAAATGAATCTCTGAAACCGCACAAATCTGAGACGTTGGCTAAAGGCTCTACCTATCCAAATCAGTTGTGTGGAGGTATATTTATTATAATTAACCATTATATGTATGTATGCATAGACATGAACAAGTATATATGTATCTGTTTATATATGGTCACATATGTTCTATACTAAAATTATGCAACTGGTAGTTCAGATCTGTGTATTATGGGTACAATTAAAATAATCAAGTATAACAACTAAATTTTTAGTTGTACTAAGAACAAGGGCTTTTCAGAAGTTGATTAAAGTTGCTAGGAATTTGAAAGTTTATTTTGGCCTTTTAGAAGGAATTGCAATATAAATTATTGAAGCACAGATTATATAACTTGAAGAGGACTTTGATTTTTTTTCATTTTACTAACAAGAAACTGAGATCAAGGATATTAATCTTTTACATAACTATGTATGACTTGAGTTTCTGAAAGGAAATGTTCCTCTAAGAAAATAAATCATGGGAAAGGGCTATTATTGGCAAGGGCGTGAAGCTCTGAAAGTTAAATTGTAAAATCCATCCACAGCTGATAGGCTCATATGTTTAAATTTTACTTAAAAAATGTCTTTTCAGATCTCAACTAGGAAGTAAATATTCCTGCCAGTAATCTAATTTCTGGTTTCAAATATCTAAGGAAAGAAATCGTCATTAAGGAGGGTCAGACAATCTGGACTAGCTAAAGAGATTAAAATGACAACCACAACAAAAGCAAGCTAGAGACTCGAATTTTGGCTTACTCAGATTCTTGGTGGTGTTGGTGGGCTGGGTGGGGTGGGGAATTCTTCTGACAAAAGATTTGAACAAAGTCTGGCACAGCCTTCTCTATACTCCTGAGGTTCTTCCAGTTCTCCCGGGGGAAAGGATATTGCTGGAGGTAACTTGTTCCTTGATATGGCCCCACGCTCATCAAAAATCTTATTATAAATTGGCCTCCCCTATGCATTTCTATAAGAGGAAAATATGGTGTCCCACTAATAAAAAGCAGAGTGCTATAGTGATAATAATGTATGTCATTTTACATTAAAATATTGGTGCTCTAATTCATGTTTCTGTCCCTTATTGGGTTAGTTAATATAAGTTGATGTTCTTGAGTCTGATAACTCGAGACGAATTTGAAAGGAAAATAGTCTGTTTTGTCCATTTATATGTGTTTGTTATGGAAACTATTTTGTGATTGAGCTTGGATTGTTATCTTATTGCTTGGAAAATCAATGGAAGTCCATTTTTAGCAAGTGTTTAAGACTCCATGGTATGTCTTTTAAAGTATTAACTTACGGGTTATAAGATTTTCTGTTTCCTCTTTGTCTTTCAGTTTTGTTTCCTGTGTACTTTTAAAAATTGTTCTTTCTTATGTTTCTGAACCCACTGCAAGTTCTGTGTAAGATAGAATAGAAATAAATAGATAAATTTTAATCCAAATGAGCAATGTTGATTGCTTGAATTAAGCTGAACTTGGGAATGGAGTAGGGAAGCCAGGAGAAATATTTAGATAAGAATTGACAAATCTTAGTGATTAATTGGATCAGAGATTCAGAAATAGAAAGGCATTTAGGAAGCTTTTCATCAATCGATTGTTCAGACATGTGAATTTGACTTTAAAAAATTTTGTCTTAATGCTTCATTAATAGAAGGGTCAACTCTGAGTCAAAGGAAGGAACAGGCTG